TTCTTTTTTACCGCTGAGTAGTACTCTAATGTGTATATATTCCACACTTTCTTCATCCATTCTTCCGTGGAAGGGCATCTAGGTTGTTTCCAGGTTCTGGCAATTACAAATAATGCTGCTATGAACATAGTTGAACAAATACTTTTGTAGTATGATAGGGTATCTCTTGGGTATATTCCCAAGTGTGGTTTTGCTGTGTCCTGGGGTAGGTTGATCCCAAATTTCCTGAGAAACCGCCACACTGCTTTCCATTGTGGTTGTACAAGTTTGCATTCCCACCAGCAATGGATGAGTGTACCCCTTACTAAACATCTTCTCCAGTAAAGGCTATTGTTGGTGTTTTTGATTTTAGCCATTCTGACAGGTGTAAGACGGTATCTCTTGGGCAGATAAGGAGAGAGATCCTGAAATGGCCCAATCCTATAGCCATACTAACGAATATCCTGCATATCACCATAGAACCTTCATCTGGCGATGGATGGAGATAGAGATAGAGACCCTCATTGGAGCATTGGACTGAGCTCCCAAGTTGCAAATGAGGAACAGAAGGAGGGAGAACATGAGCAAGGAAGTCAATGCCGCAAGAGGGGCACCCAACCGCTGAGACGGTGGGGCTGATCTATTAGGCGATCACCAAGACCAGCTGGACTGGGACTAAAAATGCATGGGATAAAACCAGACTCACTGAATACTGTAGACAATGAGGGCTGCTGAGAAGCCAAGGACAATGGCACTGAGTTTTGACCCTACTGCATGCACTCCCTTTGTGGGAGCCTAGCTGGTTTGGATGCTCACCTTCCTAGACCTGGATGGAGGTGGGAGGAACTTGGACCGCCCACAGGGCAGGGAACCCTGACTGCTCTTTGGACTGGAGAGGGAGGGGAGAGAGGCATGGGACGTGGGGAATGGAGGGAGGGGGAGGGAAAAGGCAGGTGGTGAGGACGTAGAAATTTTTTTTGGCGGACAATGAGGGCTGCTGAGAAGCCAAGGACAATGCCACTGGGTTTTGATCCTACTTCATGTTCTGGCTTTGTGGGAGCCTAGCTAGTTTGGATGTCCACCTTCCTAGACCAGGATGGAGCGGGGAGGACTTTGGACTTTCCACAGGGCAGGGAACCCTGACTGCCCCTCAGA